TGTACCTCAACACAAGTTGTTATCAATTTAATTCATGAGTAATGTATTTACTTAGAGTAACAGTGGGTAATAACACTGATTAGCGATTTGGTAACCGAACGATATATATATTGACATATATTCTCTGTTGTGTATCTCTTTGTGTTTGCATCTCTTCGAGATTATATACCTTGTATATTGATAACCCTAACAGTAAGGTCTTCTGCTCATATCCAGGCAGACTAGTATATGTTTGATGCACAGTTTATATTAATAAATGTATCTCGTGTATTGAACCCGTGTGTGTGCGTTGTTAGATGTTCTGACGATTGATTTTCTAAAAGCCCCAACAAACAACCTCGTGATTACTGCTACAATTAATAATTGTCTCAGTAAACCCATCAAACCTCTACAAGGGGTAAAGTATAGGTGAAAACCCAGGAAGACAAAAGGAAAGGCAGATTATAGGGGTATTTTACTTTTTTAAATTTTGAAAGGAATAAGAATCAACAAATGTAGGTCTGTGGATGGAGGGTTAACACAGATTTTAATAAAAAAGGATTAAAAAATGTGATACATATTTCAGTATAAAGGCAGCTCAGATTGGCCTTGAGTTTATGAGGGAAGTAGGACTTTATTAAGAAATGTATATAAACTACATGTATTTATATTTAAAAAATAAATATTATTAAAACAAACTAAACCTAATTCCTAATTAAATTTAGGTCATTTTAATTTTTAAAACCATTGGTTGTTAAATTGTTGGTACTGCAGACATCTGAACAAAATCATGAATAATTCAGGGATTAAAAGGTATAATCTATGAGTTGGCAGTTCAAAACATTAATAAAAGTATTCACATTTCTAAAAAAATAAATGGAAAAATTGGTCTTAGTGAGCTGGTCTTGATTAATGGCCAAGAGGATCCCAGATTTTCAGGACTATAACTACATAAGAGTTACGGGAGAAATTAAGAGAAATATGACTGCAAGCACTATAAGTATTAAAAGCAAGAATCGTAAATCTCCACATTGAGCTATAACTACAGCAAAGCACAACTGAAGAGAACTCAACATGGCAATGGACACCAATGTTATTGGCACAGACACAGATCCAAATTTCTGCCGACACATGTCCAAAAGCAAAGTTTATGACCAACTTCCCAATCTAATTTCAGTGCCAACTACTGAATGAATAAATTAATTTAATAATAATGTGATTATTCAGGTATTTCTATGCAACAATTCAAAGAAGTCAAAAAAGCCCCATGGTGAATTAGACACATAAAAGATGCTTGGTGCACACTGTCATCATGCTACTGTACAGATTGGTGCTTGGTGTTGTGTCACATACATCTTACCTGCATTTAGATGCTCATGCTGATATGGCAAGTTTGTACAATATGCCCAACACAGCTTTGGCAGATAAATGAAAGGAGATTAAGCTAACTAAGTCTTGTAGCCCAAACAAAATAAAACCCATTCCTGCAGTTTACTTAACAGGGAAATCTGTTAATGTAACAATTCTCTTGTAACTTGCTTTCTTTCAAAGTTCTTTCCATGAGACATTCTTCATCTCTGAAAACAACCCATTTCACCTTTCTTGATGTTGAAAAGCCGAAACTAATTCCTCTTTGGAAGAAAGGCAGCATCCGCAAAAAACAATATACTGTCAGCCTAAGGTCCCAGCAACCTGGAGCCTATCCCAGATGATTCAAGAATATATAAAAAACCTATTTCATTCCTCTGGCTGGAGCCGTCTGTGGCCTGAACAGCAACACACACAGGGAATATACAGTAAATGAACAATTAGTACAGAACCCATTACGCAAAGCATGATTTTCAGATTCTGTTTTGTGAAATCTATGCAGTGTTATTTTAATTGTGCACAATCATCGAAGTCTGCCAATTTGAATGACTTTAAATGTCTGAACTTAAATTAATAAAAAAATAATTAATTAAAAGTAATTAATCACATACTGTTTTTAACAGCTATTCACAGTAGGTGTGAAAGAAAGTGTATTGTAATGATCATGTATATATATACAGCATATTTAAAACATTTTAGCAAGTGCTAAAAATAAATCTAACCCATCTATTTTGATCAACACAGAATGGACTTTGAATTTCTAAATTCCATAGGAATACTGCACAAGCTATGAAAAATCAAGCATTAAATAAGCATTAAATGATCAACAGTAAATAAGACAACCGTTATAAGAAATATTTTGCATCCAATACATCTGAAGTGTCCAAATAACACATTTCACATTGAAAACTGAAATAACAGTCGTCTTTTTGGAAAAAGACATGCAATGAAAGCAAACCATTAAGCACTACAAAACAGTTGTAACTGATTTGACATTTTAACTGTTAACGTGAACAGCTGAAACTCTCAGTCTTACAATGTTATAATTTCAAGGATTCTTCTGGCAGCCAAAGGAAATATCAGACTGTCTGAGGCACCAATAATGAATAGCTTTGAAAACAGTAGATGTACAGATGCAGCCATTCAAAACGTGCGGGGTATTTTGCGGTAAACCGCAGTGGGCGTTGCATCAAAACGCAATTATCACGCGGTGTAACACGTCATTTGATGTCATACCGGAAAGTATCCGGAATCACCGCCAGGAGGAGCCAATAAAGCTTAACCTCTCATGTACAGCATTTGAGCTTTTAAATTTAAACTGTGTATTACAGCATGTAAATCATCAGTCATTAAAAAGTTGGTATATTTTATGAAAGCAAGATTGCTCAGTTGGAAAAAAGTACACAACCCACCTTTATCATAAATATTTTAATTATGCAGAAATATTTTATGCATCAAAGTCTTTACCGAAGATATTACTAATACTATTAATAATGAATGACTCTGGACAAGCTCTAAACTCAAAGTATTACGCTGGTCCACATTCTTTCTAACCATCCTTTTAAACGAAAATACTTTTATTTTTTTCTTTGACAAACACCACAGCATTTAGTTGATCTTACTAACGAGGACAGGACATTAGCTAGCCAATATGATAAAGGAATAAATGACTTTTATTGCTAATTTCTTTAGCACATTTGTACAAGCACTTGGAATCTGTCCAAGTCCTACTTTGTCAGGCATTTTCTTTTAGTATAACGGACATAAAAACTCCCTTGCTTTTAACAGAGCGTTTCATAATTTCTAACAACGAAAATTATTTTAACTGTGACACTTATCATTCAACAAGATCTCAAAATATCACAAGGATCCTCAAGAGATCAACAAAGACAACCGAAAAAGATATGTGTATAAGATACTGTCCATGAGAATCCAAGCTTTTTTATCTACACTAAGAAGTAGTCTTTAAAATTTCAAATTCTTCCAGCACGGGGGTACCTTTAAAGCGGAGACGACGGCACCGACATTTTTTGGCATGCATAAAAAACAGCAATTCTGTCAGTGAGCCCAAAATGAATTAATAGCAAACATGGTTTCATGGAGGGCTTCTCAGATAGTTGGGAATTCAGGTAGAATTTTCAGAATAATTGCAAATCTAGCAGGATAGAGAAAGCACAGAAAATAGGCAGTTAGATTGGTCAGATTAGTATGAAAAGCCATTTAGCAAAGAGGGAATGAGAAGAGTGACAAACTAGTATACTTTAGATCTTTTTTTCTGAACCAGGGAAAATCTGATCATGTTTCTCTATAACAATAATAAAAAAGACAGGTGTAATGCATCCCTGTTAGGATTCTCGCTGTGATATTCTGAACATATTGAAGATTGCTCAGTGTGGATTTAATTTCCCCAGTGAACAGAATCTGCATTTATTAATTCTAGAAAAAAAAGCCTTTCTTGATTTCTCTAGTTCTTAGTTTCTCTAGGTCCCTTTAAAATAAACTATTATTCCACAATGCAGAGTATTACATGGCCAGTATTTACACTTGATATTTGTGATTGAAAGAAATTAACACAAGCAGCTTTTGGGGATTTAAGTGTTGGCTGAGTTATTGCAGGATAAAAGACTAGAGATGTTGGCAAGAAGAAG